GAACCTAAAAAAGGGTACCCCTAATTTTCGGAAACCCCCGATCGGGAGGGATGAGGACGAAGAGGAGGCTGGTGAGGACCCCATTGACAGAAGGATTGCAGTCCGGACACCTCTACCAATACTTCCTGTGCGCCGTCAAGTAGGGTTTTGGCACGTAGGGTTCGACCCAGGGCCAAAAAACTTGAAGTTTCCAGTTTACAGCGTTTGCATGAAACCATTTCGTAGCTGAGCCAGAACCCTGTCAATCGGCGAAGTTCGGTGCCTAGCTGGGCCATTTGCAGCCTCTGCAACATATGCAGGGCTTGAAGTTCAGGGTCATATTTGTAAATACGATCATTTGATGACCGTTTTGAGATTCTCGGTCGTCGGGCCAGACGTCAAGTTCCATAGTCTACACTTTGGAGGCCGACTGAATCGATTCGGGATTCGCGGGCGCCTGGCTCAACGGAACTGTGTTGAATTGAACCTGTCCGGAATTTTGAGGTCCCTCGCAGAATCGCCACCCTCACGGTCTAGTGCGGGCGTGATGTGTAAACCGTCAAGCTGAAACCCAAAACCCTCAACACTAAATCTAAACCTCCAGTTTCTGAGCCCGCTGGTGCTTTCCCATGAGAGCAGGGCATTGCACTGAGACGTTGTAGTGGTAAAGGACCTTGGCAGGAACCGGAATCTACCGAAACTACAAATGCAGGAAGTCAGCTTCAACTTTCAACTCCAGAACCCCGGGTTCCGGGTTTAAGAGTTTAGGGTTTAAGGGTTTAGGGCCTAGTTTAGGGTTTAGGGTTTAGGGTTTAAGGTTCCGGGTTTAAGAGTTTAGGGTTTAAGGCTTTAGGGTTCTTGCGAGATTTTGCATCCACTCTCAGCCGGCATAGTTAAGCCCAAACACCGACGTTGTTGAGGTTGACGTCCTAGGACATGCAAGTGCCTTTGGCTTGGCATTCATCCTCATTATAGAAACCGAAACAATTGCCCATTATTAACTACACTATACTGGGCCCAAAATTCTGCTCTCATTATTGAAGCCCCTACATTAAGCCTCTGATGCTGAGGATGCGGCCCAGTAGGACGTCACCGCGTCAAAAGACTCGTCCGGAATCCAGCCTCCACAGAAACAGGCAACATACAAAGCCCAAGATTTACGGGGTCTAGGGCGTTTAGGGTTTAACTACACCCCCTACATGCCCACAAGCCTCATCATCACAGGCACTAATTAAACGGCATTGTTCTTGCAACCGATACGTATGCAGATGATGCCCGGTCGGAATGAATCCAACTACTGACCTATCAGAGCTTCACCACAAGAGAATCGTTGTCTCCGTCACTCTTTGTTCACTTCTTATCTCTGTCAACTTGCTTTCTTTTTGCGAGATATACATACCAAGAGAACGACACTGGGCACAGGTACGTAGGCATGCTTGTGTACATGTACATGCAAATACACACACACACACATACAATGCATGGGTGGATGGGTGGATGGATGGAAGGATGGATGGATGTTCAACATTCGCAAGCATGTCATGTGCTCATTGTACATGCATGAGTACACAATCAAGTAAACGAACAAACATGCAAAAAGGGACATCTGCATCATCACATGTGCAAACATGTTTGCTCACCTGCAGATCAATTACAAGCACATACGCCTCTGTATTCTATACATACGGTTGATGATATAAATCCTGCATTACTGTAACTACCCTAGACTATGGGAATCATGGTACCTTCCTTAGTATGGGCAATGCGGGATTTATACCATCAGCCGTATGTACATACGCGGGTGTGTATGCGTATGTATGTGTATGTATGTGTGTATATATAATTGCATACAGGTATTCGTACATATCGCATCGTGCGACAACTGACGACGCTATCTATTCGCCTTCACTGAGTCTATGTATTTCCTCACTCTCGCTCTCTCTCTCTCTCTCTCTCTCTCTCTGCCTCTGATTGTTCAGACCGGGAGTGGTCAGAGGGCCATAGCTTCATACTGATGAAATATAAGATCGAGTATTGCGCGAGTCGCTGGGCAAGGAGTTCGAAGATGCAAGCAGCCTCAAAGCCAAAATCCTTACCTTTCTGCCTTTTAGTCAATGTGCCAGCAAGCCCGTGTGCGGAAGAGTTGACAGATGTTGACAGACTTGGCGGATCCGTTGCTGTATGGCTGTCATCTCAGAGGTTTTTCAGAACTCGGCTCCCGAACAGGTCGCAAGCGGCTTCTGCCCACCACGTCGCCCAGCCCAGAACATCCCAGGTGACCGCAACTCCACGGCCACACCGTCCGTCAAGATTATATGCTCACGGGCAGAGCATATGCGATACGCTTCCGCTCGCCAAGTTGCTGCATGCTTCCAAGCACGTTACTGCTCTGTCTGACACCTCTTCGTCTCCACAATGCGACGAGGACACCTCTCAACGCGACTCTGAAAGCTGCGCCTGCCAGCACGGAATTTCGCGAACAAGCCACATACCTGTAGTCTCCATTGTAGTTCCTTTTTTTGGTTAACCAAAATCTCTATTATAGGATCCTAACCATAAAACTGGTTAACCAAGAAAAGGAACTACAATGGAGACTCTAGGTAGCTACTTGGTCTGATCCAGGCGCAGCAAGAGAACCTTGCGCACACCGGGCGCGGGATCTCCCCAACTGGCATCCCAAGCCCTCACCTGCTGCTTTTGACTTAAAGTCTCTAGGACTGGCTCTGTAACATCTGTGCCATGGTCGGAGGACCAGGGATGGGAGGGATCCCCATACCAGGCCTTCCTCGCGCGCTCCTCAGGTAGCATGACCAAAGTGCTGCCTTCCCAGGCACCGACCTCACCGTCCGAGGTCTCAGGTCGATCTTCTGTGTCCAAGCATAGCAAAAAGTCGTCAGCAACGATGGATGGAGCACCATAGGGCTTGCCACCTGCCCACATCAACTTAGGCTCGTTTACCACATGAACGCCGGATTCTGCCAGGAAGCTCGCGACATAGTGATCTTCAATGGGGTAGGGGTCGCTGAGATCAAGTGCCGGTAACGCCTTTTCTGCCAAGATCTTCACTGCAGATCGGCTGAGCAAGTACTGCCCCCCAGCATACTCGACCGGGTAGGTCTCGTATGGACAGTGCCTCTTGGGACAACCCCACCGTCCATCTCGCACAACCGGCGTGCCACCGAAAATCATGCCTCCACCGTAATAGGGTTTTTGGTCCCCGTGCATCTGCAACCGTTTGACGACTTCATCAATCTTGGCGAAGCTGTTCGTCATGTAATCCTCCACTTTAAGCACATACTGCACTTTGTTAACATTCAGGTGCGCGTGCACCCACGCGGCAGCGCCGACGGACTTCACTGCCAAGTTTGTGAAACGATCTGCAAGATCGAACTGCACGATGTCAGCATGTCCGCGCATCTCCTGTTCCAGCTTGTCCTGCACTTTCTGATCAGGGCTGCTGCCCACGAAGAACATGTAAGATGCCCTTTCCTGGGTTCTTGGTAAGGGATTTACCTTTAAGTTACCATAATGAAGAAGCCACATTATTTACTATAAACCCCCATGATTACATGGTACCTTAAATTACCCAGAGGCCCCAAAGTAGTTCCTTGTTGGGATTACCTAATAAAATTCTATATACGAACCCCAAAAAGGAACTACTTTGGGGCCTTTGGGTAAACCCCCTAGCAAGAACCTAGTTTCTGGTGCTGGAAAGCCTTTCAGCAACCAATGCCCAGTCCGCAGAGCTGCTCGGAGATTGAAGTTCCTAGGTGGGGCTTTTAAGGCTTTTGAAAAATATTAGTAAATAAGATCCTCAAAAGCCCAATAAGGGGAAATAAGATCCTCTTAAGCCCAATAAGGGGAAATATAAAATGCCCCAAAGCCCTACCTAGGTTCCCAACCGGCGAGGTCACGGCCACGAAAAGGGGGGCGACGTGCTCCCGGGCCCGCGCGGAACATGTGGTGATGCGAAAGCCAGGTGCCAATTCCTTAAGGACGAAAAGGGACCCTGAAAGGAAATAAGGCTCCTCTACCATATAGAGGGGTTCATAGTATAATGGGTTCTTAGACCCTCCCAACTACCGTCTAACAGACACTATTAAGGACCACAAGGGCTCCATTAAAGGACCGTTCTGGGGGGTCCTGGTTAAGTCCCCTGCTTAAAGGGTCTTTGGCTCCCCAAGGATCGGTGCTTTGAAGCTGCATGCAAGCAGACGTCGAAGCCGAGGTTGGTACAGCCGGAGCATCGGTGGAATGAGGCAGGGGAGCACCTTACTACCCCAAGAAGCCACAGGAATAAAGGGGGATTCCTAGTAAACTACAAGAACTCCAACAGTTTAAAGGTTGGGTATTGGGGATCTAAGGCACCATGACTGGCCCTTTTGCCAAGGCTGGGAAAGGAAGGAACGCTGGGCTCGGAGGAATGGTCCGTGGCTTTAATCTCAGCTTTCAGAGGCAATGCAGGGCTGTCCTGAGCCGCTTTGGCTGGGCGGCGGCGGCGGACTCGGACGTGTCGATCCTCGGTATCTCCCAGTACCGTGAAGCGCAGTGTGCTGAAGGAAACCACGACGACCAGGAGCACCACCAGAAAAGCAAAGTGACACTGCACGCACCCGCAGGCGCATGTCCCGCTGCCACGCTTGCGTGCCATCTTGCACGGCCATTGGCTGCTGAAGGAAACTGGGCAAGGTCCCGAAGTACACATTTAGCATCTAGGTACAACGGCCTGCTTCAAGGGAACTTGTACACATTTCAACCTCCCTGGGCAGCAATCGAAGAAGCCAAACTTGCGATCCACATCTAAGAGCGGGGCCGTCTCGCAGAACGCAGCCAGCAATGCCGCACTTCCCTTGTTCCTAGGAAGTTTCCTGCTGTAATGGATTGAGTACTTAACAGACCACGGCAAATCTTGGAACGGACAGTGAACTAAACTAATGCTCTACATATGTACTTTTGCCGTAGCCCTACAAGATAGGAGCACAGGGCCTAGGAACAGGCTTCAGAAACTAAACCATACTAAGAAGAAGCCCCACGCAGGTAGGTTTTTTCGGCTGCTCGTAAACCCATAAGACATAAAACTCGTATATACCTCCTAGCCCCTAAACCAGGGTCTATTCCAACTTCTTCTGCCACGCCTAGGTCCGTGCCACCGTAGAGGCAGTAGTTACCTGCAATTCAGATGCATCATAGGGCTTTCCGACACTGAGTTTCTGGATAAGGCTGAGGGCTGGTAGGGTTTAGGGTACGGGATGCGGGAGGCTTGTATCTAGTCCTTCCCGTGCTGCCCTAGCACACCACAGCCTCGCTACCTGTCCGTCATGTGTATGAGTCCAGCATTGGCAAGAAAACCGATCTGGCTTCGTGGCCATCACCTTGAAAAACAGCAGTGCGCCCTAGATGCAAACTGCAAAGAAAGACGAGGTATATGATATGTGTCAACGCATCGTACAGGGAGAACAGGTATCTAATATGTATAGGGGCCTCAAGCCCCTATGTTCTATGCTGGAAACGCGAGTCACAGGGAAATGCACGAAATCCACCCGACGGGGGCGTCCTCGAGAGAAGCGACTCGCCCAAGCAAAGTTCTGCGAGGTGGCCTTCAGAACACGCCAAGAGCTTTAGGCTCTGAGGTCGTTAGGAGTGCGAGTGTCTTGGGCGTTTACGGATTTGGCTTCGGGGAGAAAAGCTTCGAGATAGTCTTGGAGATAACGGTATGAGGCTTGAAGTTTGGAGTGGCGCACAGAACAACACGACTCGATGTTGCACAAGTTCTGACAAGCACGTGCCCAACAACTGTGCAAGGTAAACACTCTGTATTGGGAGGGAGAGGGTAGATTGTTTCAACTTTCGACTGGCTCTGTTTGCTTGGCGTCTTAAACTTTCGCTCAAAGGAATGATTCTGTGTAAGCTTCCGTTGATGAACCTCGGATCAGATTGGCCGGCCTCAATGCCATAGCCATTGATGCCGTACATCGTCGACCTTTGGTGGCCAAGGTGTGACACTCTCACGATATAGCACTGTAACCACTAGAACTTGTCTGTAACAATCTAAGCACAGTTTGGTGCCAGTGAGTAAGCTCAGGCCAGCTTCTGAATGTGGGACGTCATAATATGTCGCACTTCACGATGCCAGAACGCACATGATAACAAAAAATGTCCTCCGTCCGACCTGACACCCTCGTACTCCAAAGCCTTAGCCTGAGTCTCTGCAAAGCCCCCCATTCGCACAAACAGGCAATAACAGCTTCATGTAGGGGCCTTAGTGCTTAGAACAGGGGTCTTGGGGTATCTTAGACTATGTGTATATATATATATATATAATACATAAACTAGTACTAGAACAAATAAGAGGGATCCCCGAAATAGCATTGGTTAGTGTTTAGGCCTCTATTGCAAGCCCTCAATCCCAGACTAGGCTGCCCACAGCCACGTAAGCGCCCATCCGCACCCACTGCCTTGGAATCTACTCAGAGGCTCCAATATTCCTTTAATTAAGAAATATACCTTGAATCACATTTGGATCCTACTATAAGTGAAGGCATATTCCTTACTTAAGGGATTACTGGAGTCTCTGGGTACTCGCGATCGTGCGGCCGCAACTTTGGCAGATTGCAGAAATTTCATCTCCCAGTTGTTTTACTTATAGTGATACCGACAGTAGTGGCAACAAACTACCCAGGCACACAACAGTGAGCATGGTGATGACCAACGGTACCATCATCTTGTACACAAAGAACAAACTCTTCATCAGCAGCTGCATCGACACCATTGACAAGAACGCCCTCCATCGTCCCCATGTCCTCCTCACCCTCCCACACCGCAAGATCCTAAGCACGAACAGATCAATCCTAAACCCTGAGGCCACAAACCCTTAGTTCCGCCGTCCCAATGTCTGCACCGGCGATGTTAAACTGCCAACATCGTGAGCTCCCAAGTCATGATAATTTTTGCAGACTGCGTACCACCTGCTCAACAGTGTGGGTTCAAGGGTAACTTCAGGGTAAACCCTATATATAAGTCCATTCTCGAAATCCCGAGACCCAAACCCCTAAACTCCCAACCCCAAACCCTCAACCTCAAACTCTAGATCCCAACTCTACCTTCACCCGGAATAACCTACCTTTTTAGGGTTCCTTAATATGATTTCCTTATATAAGTCCTGAAAAAGGTAGGTCCTTCAGGGTTAAGGTAAACCCTACCAAAAGGCCCTCAAAGTAGTTCGTTTATGGGGTTCATATATAGAATCCTATGAGGTAATCCCCAAAAGGAACTACTTTGGGGCCTATGGGCCCCAAACCCTCAGCTCTGAGTAGAGAACCCCAGTCAAGAACTGACTCGCCAGGCCTGGCTTCGACAGTTGAGTGGGGATTGCTTATAATTAGGCTGTTCAGTAACCCACTGGGAAAAGTATATAATTGTTTTTGGCCTCCTTATTTTATAATAGGAACCCAGAAACCTGCAAGTAAAAAAGTGTACCACTGAACAGCCTGGTAAAAGGTTCAGGGTCTACTACAGGGTCCGAGTGAAGTTTGATCGGTTAGTGCAACGGGTTGTAGTTCGGTTGTTTAGTATATATAGGATTTAGGGCTCAGGTGTGTAGTTCCTTTGCTAATCTAGGGTTCAGGGTTTGGGGTTGTAGTTTTCTCACTACAAGGTTTAGGGTTGCAGTTCCGTTTTAGTAAATATCGGGTTCAAAGTTTAAGGTTGTAGTTGCTTTTCTTTGCAACTTGTGAATTTAGGATCATGTGCGGTACAAATCGAACTACATGCTCAGTGCCGTAGGTGAACTAAAGTGTTTGGGCGTCGGGTTTAGGGCTTCGGAAATACTTTAGGGTTTTGGGCTTTGAGGTTATAAGGGGAATACATGTAGTCTCCGTTGTAGCTACCTTTTTTTAAGCAGGTTGATATTCACGATCCTATAAGGTAGCCGAACTATAATGGAAGCCATAGGTCTTGCTCAGCTTCCTAGGGGAACTAAAGGGCCTAAAGGGTTTAGGGTTCGGGGTTTAGCTGGGGATGTCTCTAGCCTCGGACGGGAACTCAAGGATGACCTCTGGTGGTTCTATATAGGCACGACATGGGGGTTATTATTTAGGGGTTCGGGCTTGGCGATTCTATAGGGTGATTATTTATTGATTATGACAACAGAACAACTAAGGCTTACCAGCCAGGACTCCCCAAGTCTCTACAGAACATGCAGAACTTCTTGGTGTATCTTAAGGGAGGCCGCGAAAGGGTTTGGAGCTTGGGGTTTAGAGTTTGGGTTTAAGGTTGCAGCCTCTAGGGGATATAGAGAGTTGAGGAGCTTAGCCAGTCATCTCGAGTGTTCCAAATCGGGCTGGGTGCAGGGTTACTATAGAAGCCTTAATAATTAGAATAGCCCTTTGGGGGTATATTCTGCTATTAACTGCACTAAGGATCCCCCCCAATCAAAACAGGTGTTGAATGGTACTTGTTCGGGCCACCATGTTAAACGGTCTGGGGTTCAACGGCACTTGAAGTTTAGGATTCAGTGCCGAGTTGTTGGACTAGAGGCCCTGTAGTCAACGGGTCTCAAGACCTTGTTCGCTTCCTGCGTGAATGAAACTGGACACTGGAACAACTTCCTCTCCGGACTCGCCATCTACTTGGAGGTTCATGGGTAGTTGTAAGTAGGGTTGTAAGGCCCCTAATAATAGTAATAAGTATAATTACCCTGCTTATAACCCCACCCAAAGCTACCCCCCTGAACCTCCAATTAGCCCTTGCACCCTCAACCCGAAACCCCATTCGAGCAGCCTCAAAACCTCAATAGCAGAAAGTCACCAAACCTCAACCAGCGACCCTTCCATCTACTCTCTACTGTAACCTAATAGGCGTCTGCTTTGGGATCATATACCTCCAAGTCCTTAAAAGGCTTACGGGATAGTACTGGGAGGGTCCTGAAACCCCCAGCGACACTCTGGCCTTAGATGTAGCAGCTCTGCAGCTTGCACCTCACAACAGCGAGATCGCGACAGGGACGAGGGCTTGTAAGATTTGGGGCTTAGGGTTTCGGGTTTAGGGGTTTAGGGTTTGAGATTTAGGGTTTTAGGCTTTAGGGTTTAAGGACTATAGATACAGGGCTTATAGGACCTAGGATTTTGGGATTTCATAGGGATTATCGTGCCCAAAAGGGTGAAAGCTCTACCAAGACTTACATACCAGGACCCGCCAAGCGCCCTTTAATGGAGCCCTGATGCACGGATCCATGTTGATCCTGAATAATGGGCATCCACAGTGGAATGGAAAGTAGCTTGGGGGTCTAGGTAATTTCTGGAAGCGATATGGGAAGTCTCAAGTGTTGCTCAGACCATAAAGTTCTTGCAAAGGCACATGGAAGCTGCGAGGTATATCGACTCATCAGGGGTATTTGGGGACATTAACCATAAACTTACTGGATCCTAAAGGGATCTATAGGGGGTTTAGGGTTTAGGACCTAGGGTTCATGATATAAACCCCGCATTTCCCATAATAAGCAATATACCATAACCATAAACATACTGGATACTATAGGAAGAAGACCCTTGTTCAGGCTCCGATTGGGCAGGGGATCAGGGCGTTAACATTACGTCTCAGCCGCTTTCGCTGGATGATGCAGAACTGCAAAAAGCGCCTCCCCTAAACCGCAAAACCCTGAACTCCACAAGCCTCAACCACCAAACCCCTGCAAATCCCTAACACGTCAACCCTTAACCGGTGAACTCCAGAAAGGCTGACGGTGTGGGCCCGTAAACTCTAAACCGCACTAGGCCCGTCAGCCCTGAATCCATGCTGCCAATAGTGTTGATGATATACATATATATATATATATATATATACACATCCTGCATTACCTTAATGACCCTAAACCAAGGGAATTTTGGTATTTTCCTTAGTATGGGTAATGCAGGATATATATATATATATATATATATATACATCTATATTTATCATCTAACGTAGTGATGATCATCCGAGCATTGGGCCACCACGCACTTCAGATGCGACTGGATGCGGGCACCTGGCCGGGCTATGTGTCTAATGTAGGAACCTGATTAAGAAACCTTTGGCCTTTCTTAGGGTTCCTTATAGGCCCAGGGCTTCTTAATCAGGTTCCTACATTACGAGAAATCCGCGCCCCTGTAGCAATGAGCAGCTTCTTGAAATCAAGGTATCTGAGTTTGTGGCGGTTTCGGTACCTATCAGGAGTTACAGCTACGGCTTAAGCCGGCTGAAGCAACAACTGCCTCTTCCAGTCCAAGGACAACACAATCATATTGAGGTTTAAGGTCGGGGTTTAGGGTTTAGGGGAGACTTGGGTTTCGGGGTTGTCATGAACAGCTCCATGCGGTTGAGCATCTTTTGCATGCGACAGTCCGGAAATTATATATATATATATATACACACACACATATTTATATATATATATATGTGAATTTATCAGACCCGATCTTGTTGCAATCAGCCGAGCAACTATGAATTGAAATATGTTTCATGTTGACCCACCCCCAGCCACCCGATCCCCCATACTTGTTCCTGCTGTGGGCGGAGAACATCCTAAGAAGGTCAGTGGGGCTCTAAAACGCGCTGAGCCGCGATGCGAAGTTTGCAAAATCAGTGACCTCTGACATGACGGTAAACCTTTCTGGAACAGCGCGTGCAGTCCTACTACTACCATTGCTTTTGCACCGACGACGACGAGCACTAGACCGCTTAAGGTTGTCGACCATCGAAATCAACAGTCGTCAGGACATAAACCGCGAACACAGCTGAAAGACACTGAGCACGATTTCGGGCTAAACGGATATCGGGGCGTTGCATACGAGTCGTTTCCAGGTTCTGCTTGTGATTGGTTTCAACATGGCCTTTCCTTCCACTCCGAGCCAAGGATAAAGCAGTGTCTGTTTTCCGAGCAGGCGTCGGATAGAAAGGAAAAATCATCGGAATCAATGACGAGAGATAGTTCAGCCGAATGTCATCGGGCCAGGCGCAAGGCCCCTGTTTGTGTGAGGGTCTCGGGACCAAGCAACGTGCAGAAATGCGGGCTGTGCTGTGGATAAACAGTTTACATGAACTTGCGAAGGATGTATGTGTGTGCGTCTGCGTGATTCTTTGTCATATAGTTGCTTGGCCAGCGTTTCCGGGTTTAGTGGCTTCGTGTCCCCAGATCCTCCATCAGGCGATCAGGACCTAAATGCCCACCAGTAGGGGTTGAGGGCACAAGGAGGCTTCCTTCTGGCAATCCACGGCTGCGGGAAGCTACCACTGCTCACCGACGGGAACGGTTCCCATCTTCCTTGGCTCTCGGAGAGAAGCTTGGATTGTGGTGTAATATAGGGGCCCTAATAATTACCTGTACTATTTTGGGGGCTCCTTATAGAATCATATTATAATGGGCCCCAAAACCCTCATGTGCGATCGGTAGACTCGTCCTGTAACAACGCCTCCTTGCTTCTTTAGAATATCCCCATACACGAAAAAAGGACAAGAAAGAACAAGGAATGCTACTTGGAGGTTCATGGGTAGTTATAAATGCGGGGAACAATCCGCTAATATGAACAAGTATAGTTACCCTACCGTTTTACCCTACTTGTAACTAACCATGAACCTCCAAGTAGGAGCGCCTGCCGAAACCCAAGAACCCAGAAGCATTCTGCGCATCATCGGTCCTTCGTTTCTCGCCTATCTGTCAACTTCTCCAAACGTAAACCGTAACCGTGAACTCCCAGATGCCTAATTCCTCGAGAAAATTCCTTAAACTCCTATCTCCCTACATAAACCATCACACGAGTTCAACGCTGAATGCCCTCAGCGTCCAACGTCACGAAGCCCTAACCTCAATTCCGCCAACGCTACACCGAACTTTCGAAACTCAAGTTACTACAAACCCTAACCCCATAAACCCTAAACCCTGAACCCTAAAATCCCTGAAACCCTAAACTCCTAAAAACACTAAAACCCTGAAACCCTAAAAACATTAAAAACCAAAAACAATGCAACAAAGCAAACACCAAAAGTACGAGCCCAGCGTCCTCCCCCTCTGAGGAGCTCTTGGGCCCGCATTTGCGAAGCGGCTGGGCCGGAAGTGCCTTAAATCCACGCCTGGGCTTCGATGCTTTTTTTTTGAGATCCGGTGCATTCGGTGAGATATGGGCTCCGATGCTTACGGTTTAGGGTTTACTTGGAGGATCATGGGACTTAGTAAGTAAGGTTATAGGTACATATAGGTACCTTAAATAGGGTTTACCCAATTATAACCCTAGTTATTATTAAGTCCCATGATCCTTTAAGTACGGTTGAAGGTTTTTGGTGAGTTCAAGGCTTATGGATCTAAGGGGGTTTAGGACTGGGGCTTAAGGGTTTCAAGTGCCTCAAATCCACAATGCTTTGCGTTTTGAGGATTCTAGGATTTAAGGTGTAGGGAGGTTTAAGGTTTAGGTTTAAGGTTCGGCTAGTGTTCATGTTCCGCACCATCACATACAACTGTGCAGTTCCTATGCGCGACGGATTCTCTTGCGCTCCCAAAACCTAACGTCTAAAACCACAATCCACTATCCTTGAAGCCCCATTCTATCTTAAATCGGCACTACTTCTTTGTAGGCTATTATTCTAAATCCTGATATGAAATCTATAAGGACCCTACAAAACTGTAGGTTCTGGTCATTTTAGGTATCCAAGACCAAACCGTCATGTTATCTCCCACGTCTCTGCCTTCATTTGAAGCCGAGCTCATGGAGTAACCTTCTTGTAGTTGCTCAAGGCGATAAGTTTACAGTGGAACTTTAATTCCGGATCTCTTGCACTTTAACCTGGAAGAAGGCAGCTTGCATCCTGTGTAGACTCAAAGCGTGTGGCTTTGATCCTTAGGGAGTGTTCAAGAGAGGCCGTTTTTTTTCCGGGTGGCTGAAATGCGACAGAACTCCACAAGAGACCGCCATACTTTTGGTGTTGGTTGATTCGGCAAGGAAATGGGAAGAAAAGGCACACCTCTAGGACCAAGGCGCAGGAAGATTGTCCGTCGATGATGAGCTCCGACATCGCCAGGCCGCTGACCTCATAAGGCTGCTGGGGGTTTAGGGTTTAGGGGTTTAGGGTTTAGGGTGTAGGGTTGCTACCAGATCACGTTCCTGCTGTTACAACAGCAAAACTACGGTGCTGCTGTTATTGCTGCACACCACCACCAACACCACCAATACGGCACTACTGCCGCAGCTCTCTCTCTCTCTCTCTCTCTCTCCCGGGCATGAGGGCGGGTCAACGCCCTCGGGCCAATGGCCCCCCCGCTGTGTTAACGGGTGTGTGAGGGGTGAAGAATGAGTCAGGAACACAGTTTCGGCTAGAGCCATAAAGTAAATACGATAACGTTAACTGTGTCCCATTTGACTCGCACTTCAACACGTGCATAGTCATTCTTATATCTCCCCCTATTCAAGTGCCAAAGTAGATCACATCTGGTGCCAAAGATCGTAACAATATATAGGGGGCATAAAGGATGACTCCGGGAGGATGATTATGTAAATGTCTGCAGTTCCCCCGTGATGCCGAAGTGTTTTTGCAAACAGTGGGACACACAAAGGAAAGCTACCGGCATGTCAGGGAAAAAGTAGATTACAGGATATCATTGTTGCGGCATCACTGTTCGGGGTTGTATAGGTCAAGGAAGTCTCAGGGTTGGGAGTCCACCGGATTTCGGAGTGAAAAACAATGACACAGCTATACCTTTGTGGCCTAGAGGCTAAGCATGTGTAAAGCAAGGACTTACCGATGGACCTTTCCCCCCGTTGAAATGTCTATGCTGCTTGCATCATAAAACACATAGGAATAGAGGTTCATCACGAATTCGTTCAAATGCAAGCACCACAGACTGACTGAGGCCCAGGCCAGCACTGTATGGGGCACCCCCCAGTTCAAGCAGGACGTCATCAGAAGAAGAATTTCACAACCAGAAGCAGAAGGTAGAATTATATAAGTTATCCCCCGTGGAGGTGTCCTGCTGGGCCGTTATGGCTGAATTTCGGCTGGAATTTCCCTTAGTAGCTCGATCTCTATAAACCAGGAAAGTCAGTAGGTAGGGATAATTCCAGCCCCTGCGTTGTGCTCTGGTACAATCTTCGTGTTCCAAGTGCTGAATCGCAAGTTACCAAACAAACCCCAATATAAGAACATAGGACCACCGTTTCGACTGGATTCAGCACTTGTCCTGGCAGCATGAGTAGACTTCGCAACAACAGCTTATAGTACGTTCGTTTGTGGCATCGAAGCAGCAGCAATTGGCAAGGGGTATTTGGGAGGCTTTGTTACATGCATACCAAGCTCGTTTCGTCCCCCTTGTTGGTGTAAATCACAGAAAGGCTTTGTAAGCTACAATATAGGAGGCCTCAAGAGCAGTAGGAGAAACGAGGTGGTTGGGCATTCCCCGGATCAGAGGCTCTCAGATGGGGCCATGATGATCATAGTAGGCTCCATGTAGGCGGCGGCGCCGATGTTCAGCGGGACTTTCTTCACTCCCACTCGGTACGTCTTCTGTTGGACTCCGTTCTTCACGAGTGGTTCCCCCGGGAGCATTTCCAAGGCCATGGTGCCGGTCATGGAGCCACCAGTCCACATGAGCAGAGGAGGAGGGCATCCCCCTTTCTCGGGCGGGGTGCATTTCGCCCAAAGTTTCCTCATGTCCCCCGGGAGAATCGTGCGCTTCAGCAGCTCCCGGGAGTGCAAGGTGTCCAGGATGTAGCTCATGTCCCCCGGCAGGATCGTGCACTTCAAGGGCTCCCGGAAGTACTGGTAGTCCAGGGTGTAGGGCTTCTTCCACCATTTCAAGGGTTTGCAAGAGTGCGCGGTGGATAGTATTGAGTTCTCCACCCGGCCACTCCTGTAGCTGTCCTCGCAAGGACTGCAGTTCGAGGACGATCCCCCGAGCTAAACGATGTCGGCGGTCACGAGCAAGATGAGATGTGACAATCCCCCTGTGCTCCGCAATGACATCAGCTGGGTGGCCAACAGGGTCGCCCCGCTCAACTGCTG